GCCCGCCCCCCTGCCCGTCGCTCTTCCCCCCTTCCCCCATGTCTCTGTCTTCCATCTCTCCACCTGATTGAGGCGGCATCTTTCCTGTGTGCAGTGTGTGACATCATCATCATCATCATCATCATCATCATCATCATCATTATGACGAACGTGGTTAGGACTGTAAAAAAGGAGCGTCATTATCATCATGACATCATCATCATCATCATCATCATCATCATCATCATGGTCATCATTACCGTCATCGTTGCGACCTGTCAAAGGGAAAAAGAAGAGGAGAAAAACCATCGTTTTCGCAAAAGAAACACCAGGCGTATCTGTGCGCGGACAGAAAGAATTCAAATAAAAAAACGAATTATTAAATGAAAGCAGCAATGACAAACCACAGGTATAGACGTTCGAAAAATAAAATGACACAGCAAGGCTTCAGCCCCTTTTTCTTCTTCTTCGTTTTTTTCCTGAGAAAAAGAGGTCTACTTTTCCTCACCACCCACTCCCCATCAATTCGCTTCATACTCGGGTCAACCTCCCCAGACTCGCAGCACACTCCAGGCGGATCTCGGAGTAAAGTGCGCTATTCTTCTCTCTCTGTGTGTGTGTGTGTGTGTGTGTGTGGATATTGCAAGGCGAGCACGGACGAACACATTCGGCAGCGCTCTCTCTCTCTCTCTCTCTCTCTCTCTCTCTCTCTCTCTCTCTCTCTCTCTCCCCACCCACACCACGGTCCATCAGCTCCCGATCTGATCATGCCTCATTAAGAGTGGAAACTGATTTAGAGCGGAAATGACACACGAGCATACGATTAGAAATCACTAGAGGACCTCTGCTGGTTCCTGTGTCTACCTCTCCCAAACTCCCGATGATCAGAGCCGGACATGCATTGCTCTTTACCACCATCTCCCATTTCAAAGGCATCTGTAGAACGCCATGACTGCATGGAGATGCATTGCACCTTACCACCTTCCGCGACCATACGGCCACGCACTCAGACGCGTTCTTGAATTGCAAAACGTCATGGACGTACTGTAATAGATATGTAGTCTCCCAGAGTTCGCCAGAATCACCCTCAGTCCGGGAGTACCTTATCACCAAGACTTTTGTGTTTTTTTTTTTTTTTACGAAGACAAAGTTTAGAGGGGAGGCCAATGAGTTTGATAAAGCAAGAAAAAAGAAGGGTGGAAAGAAGGGCGGAGCTGGATCATGTGCGCCATAGCAAAGGGTAAGAGGGGGAAAGGGGGGGGAGTGGAGGGGGGGGGGAGCGTAAGCAGTACTGTTGTCCCGCGAACACAACCGACTTCCGTCATGAGTGTATCGAACCGAAAAGAAAGCTTCTATGCATTCACGACCAGGCTCTGTTGTGTTCGATGTAAGTAGCAGTGTCTCGATACAATGTATCGGTATCATGACTGTAGGGATCGGATAGATAGCTTGTGTGCAATACATCATGATCAGGGTGCGTTGTGTTTCGAGGTAAGGAGTATTTCTGGCCCGCGAACTCGACTCAGCTTTCTAGTGGGTGTATCGGGCCGAAAAGAGAGCTTGTATTCTTGCTCGCGGTAAGGAGTTCGGAGAATACAAGCGCTCTTTTCGGCCCGATACAACCACTAGAAAGCTGAGTCCAGGTCGAGGTAAGGAGCTCTGCTGGCCCTCGACCTCGACTCAGCTTTCTAGTGGCCCTCGATCTGGACTCAGCTTTCTAGTGGGTGTTTTCTGCTCGCGGTAAGGAGTTCGGAGAATAAGGAGTTCGGAGAATGCGGAGGAGGAGAATGCGGAGGAAGAGGCAACGGAAATTGAGTAGGGAAATTCGGACTGTTGTGGCATGATCAGGATCTGCCTCCTTACCTTTGGTGTTTAAGTTTCTCTCTCTCTCTCTCTCTCTCTCTCTCTCTCTCTCTCTCTCTCTCTCTCTCTCTCTCACACACACACACACACACACACACACACACACA